GGGGGGGGGGGGCACTGCGGAATTTATTTTACAAGCTATACTCTGCCACAGCGTGATTTGGTTCTCTCACATCGAAGGGGAAAACGTTCACTTTGCTCGGACTTTGTGTGTGTGCAATTTTAGATACCATTGGTCTTTTTTTCACAGTAAGAACAAATCATTTTCACACTCCTTGAGCGTGAGATCAGTTTTCAGTTTTGATCTTTGTATTTAATTGAAGGAAGTTACATTTCTTTTATCTTGTTCGGTTAGATTTGTGTTCTTGATTTCTTTACTCTTGACATCCCGAGATAAGAGATGAAGTTCTTCGAGATCCTACACAGTGAAATTGCTCGACTCGGTTCGAAGAAGAGTGTTGTTAGAAATTATTTCTGTTATTAGCAGAGACAACTTAATTTTCTAACCCACAGCGGAAACGTACTGTTGAATTTCTTTCCATTATAATTGAAGGAGACCTTGGCATTATCAGGAAAGGCATGCAGTGAGAAAGGAAGAAATATTTGCATGTTTTCAAGCATCGTTCCATAATAAGCTGAGAGCTGTGAGATTTCTTAAGTATTCTGTCTCTTGGACACTTGGGCGGAAACGAAGAAAATTTGAAGATTTTTTCACCCCTCTTGATATGAAGAAAGTGTTATCAGTGAGGATAACCTTCATAATCCTGTCACGTGCTTGGAAGCCTGTTGATTATGCACAAACACCAGAGTAAAATATAAATTTGAAGTGTCCCCTCGATAAGCACACGCTCCTCCTTACCCGTCAATTTGCATGAAGTTCCCACAAGAGGGTGTTGAAGATGGGTACCTGTTACTTGAAGTAGACAACCCTCGGACTCTTTCAAAGACTGTATACACTAGACACTCAAGGTGCACTTAGGGCGACCCTCGCGCTTATACTTATGAGCAAGCGAGAAGCACTCACCCGGATCACAAGGAAGAAGAGTCACAGCGCACAGGGAGAGAAAAAAAGTCGTCAGTGGGAAAGGGTGAGACACAAGCCTTGTCTAATATGCGTGTGAAGTCCGCGCGTCGTTTGGCTCATCGCAGCTCATCCAAAGTTTGTCAGATGGTCATGATAGGGACGCCCACTCGGCCACAGACACACATGCTCACACTTAACTTTCTGTATGCACCTTCCCGGTGGCGCTCACTCTCTCTCTCCCTCTCTCACAGTTCCCTGCCCCCTTCTTCTTCTTTTGCGGACACGTGAAGCCGCTTGCTGCAAGGGAAATGAGTTCCTCTTAGACTAGTTCAAACACTGTTTGGGGCTTGTCAACAACTTTTTCACTACGGTTTACAAGTCTCACTTAAGACTCTTTTTGATATCAAGAGCTGGCCGGGCGAGGTTGAGGCTTTGTTGTCACACAGGGGCTGGCTCTCCGCTTCTGGGGCGAGGCCACGTCGTTAAACAGACGCTCTGACAGGCCGGCCTGGGATCCGGCCCCACACCTCCGCCAATAGGAGCACAGCGGGGGAACGGAAGTGGGCAGGGTTTTCTCAAGCACAGGGGGAACGGAGAACTCTGCGGTTTGAGGCGAAAATCTCCTCTTCAGCTCTACGAGGGGGGGAGGGGCGCGAGGGAGGATGCACGTGGACGCGCGTACAGTGAGTCTATCAACACTGAGGT